TCCCGCCACCTCCTTCCGCGTCGCCGTCGCCACCGCCACCCTCCGCGTCGCCGTCGCCGCCCCCGCCATCCGCCTCGCCGTCGCCGCCACCTCCTTCCGCGTCGCCCTCGCCGCCGCCTCCCTCCGCCTCTCCCTCCCCGCCACCTCCTTCCACGTCGCCGTCGCCACCGCCTCCCTCCGCCTCTCCCTCCCCGCCACCTCCTTCCGCGTCGCCGTCGCCACCGCCTCCCTCCGCGTCGCCGTCCCGGCCGCCTCCGTCGGCCTCGCCGTCGCCGCCGCCATCCGCGTCGCCGTCGCCGCCGCCTCGGTCGGCGTCGCCCTCGCCGCCGCCTCCCTCCGCCTCTCCCTCCCCGCCACCTCCTTCCGCGTCGCCGTCGCCACCGCCTCCCTCCGCCTCTCCCTCCCCGCCGCCGTCCGCCTCGCCGTCGCCGCCGCCGCCTCTGCCGCCGCCTCCCTCCGCCCTGCCTGCGCCGCCACCGTCCGCCTCGCCCTCTCCGCCGCCGCCGTCCGCCTCGCCGTCGCCGCCGCCGCCTGACGTGCAGCTGCTCGACCTCCGCGCCGCCACCACGTACCAGGACTCGAGCTTGTTCGACAAGCAGGCGCCCGTGAGCGACCTGTCATACGCCGACAGCACGACGGGACGGCCGTGGGCCGAGTGCGGCCAGTACACAAGCCAATGGTGGGGCGTCGACCTCGGGAGCGAGGTGTATGTGCGTTACGTGCGGCTGCAGAACCGCAACGACTGCTGCGCGGAGCGGCTGACGGACGTCGACATCTATCTCGGCTCGACGGCGGAGACGTACACGGGCAACGCGCTGGTGAAGTCAGACGTGAGCGTGTTGTCGAACGTGATGTTGGAGGTGGAGATCAACGCGTTGGGGCGCTACATCTACCTCAACCGGCCGTCTGCGGCGGGGCTGACGGTGTGCAAGTTCTACGTCTTCGCAGGAAATCGCAATGGTCCACCTCCTTCCGCGTCGCCGTCGCCACCGCCTCCCTCCGCGTCGCCGTCCCCGCCGCCTCCGTCGGCCTCGCCGTCGCCGCCGCCGCCATCCGCGTCGCCGTCGCCGCCGCCTCCGTCCGCCTCGCCCTCTCCGCCGCCGCCATCCGCTTCTCCCTCGCCGACCTCTCCGTCTGCGTCCTCGTCGCCGCCTCCTCCCTCCTCAACCTCCTCGCTGGCAAAATCCTGGTGTTCGCCGACTTATCCTCCTTGCACCACATCCCCCCTTTCGCAGGTAGGGTAAACCGAAAAAGGT